CTTACGTCGATCGAGCTCGTGAGTAGCATGATCTAGCCGCTCGAGCAAGGCATGATGCTGCTGAATTTCCTACACTTTTTTCACGGATCAACAACTTTTCTCTAGCTTTTCTTCGTGCTCGGGTATCGTCACGGGGTGTGCCACATATCGAATCGCTCGTCTCGACCAGATGAACATGCTTACCAAATTTGAGCGCGATTCAACTTTGGATGGGTAAGATATGAGCATCGAAAATTATTGTTCGTGACTGCTCCTTCCATGGTGTGGGGTTGCAAGGTGGCTGCAAGGGAATAGCTTGCGGCCCCTCCTGTTTCACTCTTTTGCTATAACTTCTTCCTAGAGTGTCTGTTAGGCCAAAAATTTGACTCCTGAGGGTTTTCAACTGTGCTGGATCTAACGGTGGTGGTCCCACAACGGTTTGAGACACCGAAAAATGTAGCTCTAGTTATAGGGGTCGTTTCAGGGTGCTAGAGGTCGATTTTGCTGGAATTGTTTCTAGTCTACACTGCCTTAGACATGTCGGAATGAGACAAAACTTGGCAAGAGACTTTTGAGAGACCTTATAAAGATCTTAGCTGATTCCTGGGTTATTCTGTCTAAAATTTCCACTGTTTGCTAGGCTTTATTAAGTGGGGGCCCCATGTTGATGAAAAATATCTTCCAACAATGTTGCCCATTATATAAAGAACAATATTGTATTCATGTTTGGTGTTCCTGAGTCAATTATTACTGACAATAGATCCAATCTCAAAAATGAAAAGGTCTCTAAGGTATGCAAAAGGTTTGGGATAATACAGAAATTCTCCACACCTTACTACCCTCAAGGAAATGGACAAGCAGAGGCTACAAACAAATGACTTCTCAGAATTATAGACAAAATAATAAAAGGTTGCAAAGATTGGCACGAAAAGCTAAATGACGCACTATGGGCTTACCGGACAACTAAGAAGACTCCTAGTGGCAACCCCATACTCATTGGTGTATGCTATAGAAGCAGTGTTACCCATTGAAGTTGAGATACCGTCTCTTCGAGTGCTTATTGATAAAGATTCATATAAGGAACAAAAGATGGAAGCCCAAATCGCTGCCCTCATTAATTTTGATGAAAGACGACTATGAGCGACACAAAATATTGTTTCTTACCAGCGTAGAATCGAGAGGGCATACGAAAGTAAAGTTGTTCCTCGACAGTTCAGGGAACGGGACATGGTACTCAAGAAAATCTTCCACACTCCTGTAAACCCACACCCTTTAGACAAGTTCAAACCTAATTGGGAGGGCCATTCGTGGTCACCCTAGTGCATGCAGACAATTCTTACAAGATCAAAAATCAGGAGCAGTGCGAGCTCAACGACCCCATCAATGCGATGTATCTCAGAAAATACTACCCATAATGGGCTCAAAAGAGTGGTGAAAACCAGAAATGGCATCAAAAAAAATAAGAAAAAGAATGGATGTGGTAAAAACCTGAAAGGGCATCACGGGTAAAATAACAAAAAAAAACTCCTAGAAGGAGCTTCTGATGCAAAAACACTCAAGTACAAACAAATACTTGCAAGTTCCAACAATATGACACAAGTAGACCTTGAGGACGAAGACTACTCCTAAACCCTATCGGTTCCCAACATAACCAACTCATAAATATGCGGGGGGAGCATGATATGAATGGAAAACGGAAGTGAATTCGACGAATCCTCGAAGAACATTGGGGCCTCTCCAAGATGGAAGCTAAGCAAGAATCCAGAGAACTCATCATGGACCCGTGAAGCACAGCATGAAAGCTCCAAAGATAAAAAGACAACTTCGAGACTTTTGAGTTCTTACGATCCCACAAGGAAATCCTTTCATCATATTTGGATAAAATATAATAAAGAAAATCACCACCAAAGGAGCCACAGGTGGAAAAATTGTAAGGCCCGTCCCTTTTAAAAATGTTTTTTCAATCTGATTGTTAAAACCCTCCATTTCCAAAACCCTTTTATAAAGGACTTCCTCCATCACTACAAGAGGCTAAATTGTTAGTCGATCTGGCTTCGTTCTTGAAACCAACTTCCTATGACTGTTATGAAGGCTTGAAACTAGCCGGGCACTCCATGGTTGTATCAGTATAACTATCAACTACCACATATCGGAGATGGGTGAACCTCGCCAATGACAATATTGGCTAGTCTGGGAGAATTATTCTCTCGTCTGGATCCCCTGAGGTGAAATGAGGCAAGCTCATCCCCGTGTGTGCATACGATGTTCCAAAGTCCAATTCAAAAAATGTAAAACTCGTGCAACGTAAAAGAGCCAAGATAGGATAAAATTCAAACTCATGCGATGTAAAAGAGTCGAGATAGGATAAACGACAAACTCGTGCGATGTCAAAGAGCCGAGACAGGGACCGCCTAGCCCCGTATGACATGAATGGTCAGGTGTATCTAGGGCACAACCACCCTGTTCAATGGAATAATGTTAAACCCATGCGATATAAAAGAGTCGAGACAAGGACCGTCTAGCCTCGTATGACATGAAAGGCCGGGTGTATCCAGGGCACAACCACCCTGTTTCAATGGAAAAAACGTCAAACTCGTGTGATGTAAAAGAGCAGAGGCAGGTACCATCTGTCCCCATATGACGTGAAAGGTCGGGTGTATCTAGGGCACAACCACCCTATTCAATGGAAAAACATCAAACTCGTGCGACGTAAAAGAGCTGAGGCAAGTACCGTCTAGCCCCGTATGACCCAAAAAGGTAGGGTGTATCCAGGGCACAACCACCCTGTTTGATGGACTCCGTCTATGCCCATATTGACCTAAAAGGGTCGGGTGTATGGTCCATCACTACATGATGCAAAACTGCTTAGAGGGCTCTATGGTTGCAGGAGTTAAAACTGCTATCCAACCTTGTTTTCTGAAATATCTTTCTCTTTTCAAAATTTTCACTATATGTCTTGTGTTTTTCCAAACTTTAATTTCTTTGTTAAAGTCGTAACCTATCCTTGATCCGGGATCTATTTCAAATCTCCCCCTACTTTTAAAAATTCTAAAAAAAAAAAAATTTAAAAAAACGAAGGAGCGTGGACACCCGTATATGATGATTACCACATTACCGCGATTGCCGCAATGCTGACTCATCCCTTACTTCAAACTCAGCCAGACAGATCTCTTCCTATAGAAAGCCTTTTCCTATAGAAAGCCTTAGGAAACCTTAAGGAGATCAAAGAAAATTACAGGGTTAACAATTCAAACTACGAAAACCCCTGAAGTTAAGTGGCATGACAAGAAAATCCAACTCGAGTTTCAAGCTTGTGTAACTCACTGACATCTCAAACCGAAAACCCTAGGAGGAAAAATGCCCTACATGAGTGAGCTCGATGAACGTAATAACTTGGAGGGATAGTTGGTGTGCCCCTTGACCACGTGACCTCAAGAAGAAATTTAAAATGTCTTCTTTATCTTTGACGTTCACCTGCCCCTCGAAGGACAAGGAACGGTAAAGTGTCTACTTCTTTGCCACGCACCTGTCCCTCGAAGGACAGGGAGGGCCAAAGAGGGGCAACTGTAGACACCCCATTTTAAATCTGGTAAATTCTATGGTTTTCTGAATCCTTTATACCACATTATCCTAGTAACAATTTAATTACCCCAAAACTACCCAAATCCTATCCCGATTTGAAGTAGAGCCTAAGAGCTTTCCAACGGTCCAAGAATAGCCTGAATTAGACCTACGGATAAAAATATACAATAAATGACAATTTAGTCCCTATAAGTCCCAACTGTGGAGCCACGGGCCGGGCTGTAACGGCCCCGACAGGCCCAGACGTGGGTTGATGATGCAGTCAACGCATCTGATGATGCAATAAATACGTTTTCTTTAATTAGATAAGGTTAAAACTTCAAGGTAAATCTAAAAAATTTCGAAAAAACTTCAAAAAATTTAGAAAAAATCACCAATTGAATCTTATAAATACTCCCCCCCCCCCCCCCCTCCCCTAACCCAAAAGAAGAGAGAAAAAGAGACCAAACAAAACTTAGAAATTTTCGAAATTAGGAAAATTATCCAAAAATATCAAAAGTAGGAAAACCCTTAGAAAAACTCCAAAATATTTAGAAACAAATCCCCAAAAATCCCAAAAAAATAGAGAAAATCTCATAATTAATATTCAACATATGGAGATCACAAAACCCTTAGAAAACTGAGGAAATTCTCCTCCAAACCACGAAAAAGATGACAGCTTTTAGAAAAATCTCTAGATGGAAAACCCTAGAGAAGATAGGAACCCTAGCCTCCTGAAGTCCTAACCCCCAAGACTAAGAAAACCCAGACCTAAGGCACAAAAACCTTAGATCAAAACTAGAACTAGGGCACAACAACCCTAGATCTAAGCCTTTACACTAGAGATCTGCTGGTCAACATCCAAATCAGAGAGGCAAAGAGGACCGGTTCTGATACGGGCGAGCCCTCAAAAGCTCGAGAATCCCTGGCCATTCGGCCCGGTTTGGTATTATTTCTTCCTCTCTTTTTCTTCTTCTTTTTATTTTTTTTCTTTTTTTAATTATTTTTTATCTGTTAACTAGTCTTAAAAATCGTATTTTAATGATCTGGATCATGTTGGCTCTGCCACAGATCTGATAGTAGATCTGCTCGATTTCAGGCAAATCCGACCTCATATTTGAATTCGATCTGTCCCATTTGCTCTACCACTTTATTTATATATTTTTAATTAGTTTAAAGTGTTAAAATTTGTGGGATCTTCATCGAAAGATCTATCAAATTTTCACTGTAAACACTACACTATGTTTTAAGTTTTAAATTTCATAACTAGAGATAAAAGTAAATTTTCAGACCATCACAAAGATTCCAAATCCAGAATCAACATCTTTCAGCACTATTTGAAGGTATGCCTTGTTTAGGTTGGCAACCTTATACAAGCCACACCCGACAATATAATCCCAATGGGATTTCTAAACCTTGGAGTGATGGATCTTACCTTTCCTCTGGCTATGGGCGATAAGAAGACTTTGCAATGGAGTCTCTTTGCATTGGATTTGTATGATAAGTCAGTATGTATGTTACAAATAATAGAATTAATGTTCAATACCTTCACAAGCATACACACACCACAATATTAGTAAGTAATATTAGCGTGCTTCAATTTATTGGGGGATGAAATTATTCATCTCAACCTCTAGTCTTGTGTATCCATGATCCTTCAAGGACGAAAAGTTGCTGCATTCATCATCGTGGTTTAATTTCCGAAATAGTGATCCGATTTGTGGAATGCGTTTTGATGCTACTGGAAGATGGATCTGACTCCACCCTAGGGATTCTTCTCTCCACCAAAAATGTCGGTTCTCTAGGCACAGGAAGTGCAACAGCTTCGTTGTTTAACATGGAGAGAGTTGAAGTCATGTTCGGCCTTTCCATTGGATCTTCTTGGACACACAATAATCCGATTTGAATACATCGTAATATTTCACTGTCATGACGGGATTGACACAGGACTGGATCTGTGAATTCCATGCCTTTCCCTTCATGCCATAGCCTCCAGGCCTGCACAAACATAATTATTATGAAGATTGAGAGTTCTATTTGGTACATTACCTGAACTAATATGGGAGTAAATATCATAATGTAATTAAGAGAAACAAAAGCTTACAGTTCCTAGAAGACTTTGTGAAGACTCACGAAGATAGAGACCAGTGTTCTTTTTGCCACAAATGATTTCAAGCAATAAAATTCCGAAGCTGAATACATCGGACTTCATAGAAAATAGTCCATCCATGGCGTACTCTGGGGCCATGTATCCACTATTTGTTGACAACATATCATAGCATATACTCAGTAAAGATGAGTTTTGATAGCATTTAAAAAGTTCACACTGATAGCAATATCTATGGGTTCTACCTGGATTTCAAGTTGTTTAGAAGTAACATTCCTTATGAACTACTGCTTTTGCTTTCAAAATATTTGCAGGTAAAAAACTCACAGAATGATAGGTGTGAAGCTAAAAGTCACGAAAAAATAAGACAACATGGTGCTGAATGCTACAAGGTAGACAGAGATTGCTTACTATGTTCCCACAACCCTGTTTGTATTAGCTTGAGTTTGATTTGTTTCAAATATCCTCGCCATTCCAAAGTCCGATATTTTTGGGTTCATCTCATGGTCCAGTAAAACATTGCTGGCCTTCAAGTCTCGGTGAATTATTCGAAGTCGAGAATCTTGATGAAGATAGAGTAGGCCTCGAGCAATCCCTACAACGATGTCGAATCGTTTTCTCCATTGTAGCTGTTGTTTCTTACTTGAATCTAGAGACATTTTCATAAAATCAGTACAACAATCATCAAATAGAACCTTCTCAAATCAAGATGTTGAATAAAATTAATAATATATTCATGCCCTTTAGTATTAAGTTTTTGGGTTCACAGTTTCTCCATAACACAAACCAACTTAGGTAACATGAAACATAAATACCCGAAATAGCAAAGTGGTCATACCAAAGATATAGGCATCCAGGCTTCCATTGTGCATGTATTCATAGACAAGTAGCTTTTCTTCACTTTCTAAGCAGCAACCGAGGAGCCTGACAAGGTTTCTGTGTTGTAGTTTTGCAATCACTACAACCTCATTCCTGAACTCCTCTAGACCTTGCCCAGAGCTTCTAGAGAGCCTCTTCACAGCTATTTCTTGTCCATCACTTAGCTTACCCTAAAAATCCAAGAGAGGTTTTTCATTTGGAATATTGATTTAGGTTTCATGTTTAAATTGCCCGAGGAAAAAAAGAGCTCATGGTGTAAAAACCAATGCTATCAGTAAAGAAAGAAGTTATCACCTTGTAAACTGGGCCAAAACCACCTTTTCCAAGCTTGTTCTGATCAGAGAAATTGTTTGTGGCAGCCTTTAATGTATCCAAATCAAACAAAGGTAGCTCTTTTCCTTCTCCATCTTTCTTGCTAGGCACATGTTCTCCGATGTTTCCTGAAATTGAGAAATGGTTTGCTAAAATTGAGAAAGTTGTTCAACATTGAAGTCAGAGATAGCAGAGTGGCAGAAATCATTTATTAATATCTCACAAGATTCAAACGGTTTCACATTTAACATTTATACATATAATCTATACTAATGGACATATAATCTAAACTAATGTTCTTTCAATGTTCATGTTTTCAATGAAATCAGATGTACCATCTTCAAGAACTAGCTTGCTCAAGTTCCGTATTTTCTGCTGCATACAAATAGTGACACTAACTATTGCGCCAAGTTTTACTGAGAAAACTCACATAATGAGCTGTTGGAAAGCCCCAAATCCTTCTTCGGTCCCAACTCCACATATAGGGAGGTTCAAGGTAGAACTGATCTGGACTTAAGCTCAATAATCCATCTCTATCTAGTGGTTAACCAAGTATGGTGAACGAGAATTCCTAAAGAAGAACTAAGAAATAACCCACCCTCCTTGTCTTGATTCCTTATGCACAAAAAGTGGGGGGTTCCTACACCACTATATAACTTCTAGGAGGTGACTCTTCACTGTTATTCCTCGATGCAAGAGCCACACTATCCTCCTCACTCTTCTGGCAATATGTGTGGTCTCACCTAGCTTAATGCAAGGGAAATGAGGTCAACATAGTTTGCCTCCTCTTATTCTAGCAATTATTGACTCTATTTCCCAATGGGATACCCAGTACTGGACTAGCCACTTTGACAGATGTCTTTTGTCCTTTTGAGGGCCAAAAGATGCTAGAACTCAAGTATTTGAATATTGGGAGTTAAGACTGCTTTGATTTTACAAACAGGGGACATAGTAGACATATGTGTAAAGTTAAATCTTATCTGTGCATCGAAACAATAGTTTAATACTCTCTCAGAGGGAAGATATGAGAGTATCCATAAGAGATATTCCTCCCAAAATACCCTAAAATCACTTCCATCCCAGTGGGAGCAGCACTATACACATTTTCCCACTTAATTTGCACAAACAAACAATATATGACGTCCTATCGCTCTAGCAGGAAGCTCTTATTGCTGTGAAACCTGACTATTGAAGAAGCAACTCTTATTTGCACTTCCAAACAAGTGATATCGACTCCAGCAGAGCAAAGTTATCTATGTTTAGCGCATAAAAAAACAAGGCCATACTGAACAAACGCACTTCTTTAGGCCATATCCTTTTGCTCGTGACCCTTTTTCAGTGTATGGCCCTTCTTGGAAAGATCAATGAGCTCTACAATTTCAATACTACCTAAAGTTGTTTTCTCTATCAGAAAAGCAGAAAAAGAGTTCTAAATTCCATTTCAAGGTATGGTGTGACTTAAAAATCCAAACAATACGTAACACGTAACATCTTTAAGGTGGTTATCAGTCCAACATATCTAAAGAGTACTTCTTGAACCAAGTCAAATGAATGATGTATTTTACATAAGGAACAAGATAGGCTTTCCATTGATTTCAAGTCTCAATTGCCCAGACTGTCGCCAAGGGCTCGCACGACATCTTGTTTCTGGTTAAGTTATCCCGAGATCTTACCCAAGGCTCTCTCAAGCTATGCCTAATAATTAAGGTACAGATATCATCCTCCCTCTGGCTATAAGTGACCACTTTTCCATGTCCAAAGACATGACGAATAGTGCCCTTATCCCAGCCCCGGCAACTCATTAAGGACATAGTGTCCACCCTCTTCGTATTTGATGGAAAATCTGTTTTAGAGAACAACTGGCACGTGCCCATATAGAAGATATGTCTACTCTTTCAAGTCTGACTATTCTTTAGAATATACCAACAAAATTATTAACTTTTTAATGAAATGCAGGTATCTATGGATGTTCTTTCCTGCAACATTTCATTCAAAGGAGCGAGTCGAAACATTAACATAACGGACATTTTCGTAACAATAAAACATTCTCCTGAAGTGAGCTGTTTCAAAGCTTTGTTATGCCAACTACTTGAGAAATGTTGGATGATACCATTACACATTCTTTCTACTTTATAAGATTATTGCTGACGCCTATGCAAGGTGTCCAGCTTATTGACAAAGAGATCAGAAGGAGAATCTCTAGCAGTTGTATAATTTCTATGAGAAATTATTGTCATAGAAAATATGGCTTTATTGCTTACATTTCAATAGAAGATATGTCTTTTTTTTTCTTTTCCGGAAATTATTAGGATATACGGCTCATTGTTTACCTTTCAATCTTTCCTTCCTTCTCCAGAGACAATAGCAAACACAAGCAAAGAATAATACTCCAAAAAAAGTTGTTGAGATTGAGATGATGGCAATGACTGTCGAAGACAGCCCATTTCTTCCTGCATCAAAAATAAGTAAAGCATTTCAGATATCATGAATAAAATTAATAATCTCTAACTTTAACGCATTATCTCTAAATCAGAGAAAATGGGTACTTTTTTAGAAGTTAATTAAGAGAAAAAAATTGATCCTTATAGGATTGTATACTATGAAACCATTTATATTTGGTACAAAGTGGGCATAATCACTTTTGGCTTTTGGATGAGAAATCCAATAGATAAAGATGTATTGCGACCTTCAAGAAAAAAATTTCAAAATTTGTGCTAGTGACACATCAACAACTATCTGATTTCAAATTTAACGGTCAATAATGATTGTGACATCTTTAAATAAAAAATAAATAGTGTAAATTTTCTAAAATTAATTGATTTTTAATGTCTAAAATAGTTCATACTTCGTAGTTATTACATTTATTTTTTGCGAAAGGCAATAGAGTCTCTAGGTAACGTAGGATGCCATGTGCTCCAACTTCGTAATGAATTTCACCTCGACAGGAGGAATTTGCTATTCCATTGCAATTACTATATCCGGGTATAATTTTTCAAGTTGTCCAAAACTACACTCTCTCTTTTATAGAAGTCTTTTCTTGTTTTGTTTGGTCCACTCCTCTCTGGACTCTGGAGACATGCTTGTCATATAATCAGATCTCGTTCCCAATAATCATTTGAAGATTATTCTTTCCTTACTAAGAAATTAAGGTTTAAGTTCACTTGCACAAATTGAATGGTCTTTTCTTAGTAATCATTTCAAATTTAATAATAATGGTGTTTCATTTAAAAACCCTAGGTTGGCAGGTAGTGGAGGCGTGATAACTAAAAGAGATGATGGATCCTTTGTAGGAGTATTTGGCAATCCCCTTGGTATAGCATCAAATAATTTTATAGAGTTTCTAACCTTGCAAGCATTGACCTGGCCATCCAGTTCAAATGTTTTCCCTTTCCGATCAGGAGCAACTCCTTATTATTAGCTAATGCAATTCATGATTAATGCAAAGCCCCATGGGCGTTAAATATTGCTACTATTAACTGTAGATATAAGCTCTCTGGTCATGTTTGGTCCCTTATCCACTTTGTTGTGAGGCTAACATGATGGTTGATTTACTTGCCAAGAAAGCTACCGCCTTCTCAGATGCAACTATTTGACGATCTAGACCACCGGATTTTCTTTTTCTTGTATTACTTCATGATGTGGCACGATCTCCCTATTCTAGGGTTGTAAAACTATGAGCTTATTATTACTGAAAATCGGGTAGGGGCCTTCTCCCCCACTGAATTACCCAAAAAAAAACAAACAGATCATGCTCTTTTTTTTTTCTTTTTTTTTTTCTTTTTTTTTCAACTTCACTTGCCCAAATATTCTTTTTTTTTCTTTATTTATTTATTTGTTTTTCAACATCACTTGCCCAAATATTTTATTCGATAGCTAAGGCATTTGTAAATTAGTGGCAACTTAATCCTTTTGCAGTTCGTATTATTTTCTTATCTTAATCCTGAATAGACGCTTTAAACGAGGTAAGAAAAGAAAACACTTGTGCTTCAATCTGCACCTTGATTGGGTCATTTTCGCAATATGCGTTAAATAAAAAAGATAGAAAGAAATTAATTGATGAAACGGAGGAAACTATTAGGAAAATGTAGAAAATCACATAAAAGTATTGACTAGAAGCTGGAATTTTCTTTTAGAGCACATTTGATTCGTGTGAAAATAATTTCTGTAAAATATTTTCACATGAAAAAATTCTTTTATATGGTTAGGTGTGGGACCCAATACATTTTTCACATCAATTAACAGCTAATTAATGAAAAAATATTTCCGTACCTAACCATACGAAAAAAAAAATTCACACGAAAATATTTTCTAGAAAATGTTTTCACATGAACCAAACCCTTAGATTGTTTCAAACGTTCATTCAGTCTATCATTTATGAGAGGGTGATGCTTGATAATTAGGAGGGGTTTTGTAATCATTAGTTGTTCCTGGTTAAGACTAACCGATTTGATGGTCTAGACCACATAAAAATAAATATGGTTATTAGTCCCCCTGAAATAGAAGGTTGAGAGCATTAATTTTATGCTCTTTTTTCTTTTACATACACATTGAGCTAAACTTATAGTTATGGAAAATTCTTTCATCGTGTTAGACTGCATTTCTACGTATGCAGTCAAGAAAGTGTAATGCATCCATCTAAAAGATGGTTGCAAGTAGGTGTTCCATCTAAAAACAATGAAAACTATTGGTTCAAATGGTTTTTTGGTGCAAGTAGGTGTTCCATCTAAAAACAATGGAAACTATTGGTTCAAATGGTTTTTTACTAGAATTATTATTTTTAATTTTTAAAATTTATTTCTTTTTCCATATTCATGATCTCCATGTTAGAGATTACATGTCTTTAAATGTTAAGTCCAAAAATCCATCTCAAAAATAGATTTATTAATTAGGCCCGCATTTCTACATATGCAGGCTTGGCCGCATAGAAACTGGACCCTTTAGTTATTCACACTTCTAACCCTGTATAAATAACAAAATATTGTATTAAAAAATATAATATAGCCAAAATACTACTTTATGTGTATTTTGGTCATTTTATTTTACCTTTATTATTATTTTTATATTTTTATAGATACATCTAGGCACGCACATTTCAGATATCACGTTAAATGATATTGGCGAACATTAAAAAATGGATGAGAAGATAAGGTCAAATATTTTTTTAAAAGACCAAATAGTCTAAAATGTAGTTCAACTAAAAGCTATCAATCAACCATTGAATCTGATTAGATGGTTAAGAGCATGTCTATATATTTCAATTTTTTTATTTGCATAGCCAAATAATGAGAATTCATTCTTCTAAATCTCTCACACGTCTAAAAATTATGTAATAAATATATTTCAAAAAAATAAAATGACCAAAACACACTTTGAAATGTGATGGTTTTTAATTTTTCAAAAATTAATTTGATGTTTTATAGATAATCCTAAATAAGATGCACAACCCAACAAATTTCACTTAAATCTGAGTATTAAAAAAGCATAAATGAAAAAGTTTGGGCAACAATTTATTAAAAATGAATCCCGGGTCCAAAACAGAATGGAGTTGCTCTGAACTTTGCCTCTCCATAGGGGAGAGGTGGAAGCTCACGCCTCTCATTGTTGAGTGTGAGCTTATAGATCGGCCATTCTAAATCAGTTCTTAGTTGACAAACTAGGAAATAGCTGCAATTACCTGGAGTTGAAAGTCCTTGTTTAACGTAGAACTGCTTGAATAGATATTAATCATGAAATTGGTTAAAATTTAGAGTAATTTATGCATATATCCTCCCAAAGTACCGTTATTTAATAAATCTCTTAACGTTACTACGTTCATATTCTTTTTCTTTTATTTTAAAAAAATAATGACATTACTCCTATTGGATTTGGTGTTATAAAAAAATCCCATATTATATGAAATTGAGATTGATATTAATAAGTTTCCTAAAGGAAATAGAATCCAATAAAATTAGGACTCTTGGATATATCTCTTAGTTCTTAAGGTATATATAACATCTATAGGAAGTTTTCTAATTAGTGTGGATTTGTAACCTTATATATATATAGGATAAAAGAGAAGAGAATTTATGTGTCCTATTTGAGTCATCATATGGGAAAGGTGACCTCTTCTAGAGAGAGAAGAGGGCAGGGCCTCTTGTGCATGAGATACAAGGTCTCCCTTAGATAGAAAAGATGAGATGCAAGGTTTATTTAAGAGATAAGAGAGCTTCCTATAGAGAGAAACATTGCGATGATACCTCCTATACTCTCCTGAAGTTTGAGATGTTAGTTTCTTATAGAGAATATGATCCCATGGAGATTTTGGGTGGTTTCTCTTTTAGTGAGAGAAAGGTTCCCACTGAGAGTTTGGTTAGTTTCCCTTTTAGTGAGAGAAAGTCTCGATTGCTCTCAATGTTCTCTTCTTAAACAGCGGTCTAGTTATAGTCTCTTCCTAGACAGTGGTCTAGTTATGGTCTTTTCTTTGATAGTGATGTAGTTATGCAATAAAGATGAGAGATCAACAATTGTGCCTTTTGGGAGAGCCGATTTAAAAAAGTTTGCTCGACTCGGTTTTGTCGAGAGTTAAAGAAGTAACTCCATGGCCCAAAATCTTTGATATAACTTTCATTGGTATAGTGGATTGAAGTTTGTTATGCCCGTGGATATAGTCCTTCTGAGGTTAACTACATAAATCTTTGTATTCTTGTGGTATGTGTTTCATGCTTTAGTTCTCACACTTTATTTACCAAAAATCAATTGTGGGGTTTAGAGTTTCCCCGCACAACAACTAGTATTAGAGGTTGGTTTGGGGTTGTCGGTATGGCAATAAATATTTCAAATGCAAAGTTCGAGTTAGAGAAATTGATGGCAAACACTATTTTTTCAGCAAGAATGATGGAAAAATTTATTTGGGAAAAGAAAACGAATTCATAAAACTATCCAATGGATGTTGGCATGGTGAGTAGAAAATTTTGATATCAAGGTAGAGATTGTTTGATTTGGTGCTATTAGAAATCACACACATAAGAAAACCCCATAATTATGTGGGATCGAAATTGATATTGATAAGTTTCCTAAATGAAATATAAATTTAATAATATTAAGACTCTTAGGACTCTTGGACATATCTCTTAGCTTTTAATTTATATGCAATATCTATAGAAAGTATCCTAATTAGTGTGGATTCCTAATCTTATATATATGAGATGAAAGAGCTAAGAATTTATGTGCTCTATTTGAGTCACCATATGGGAAAGGTGGCTTACTCTATAGATTGAGGAGGGCAAGGCCTGGTGTGCATGAGACATGAGGTCTCCCTTAGAGAGAAGAGATGAAATGCAAGGTCTCCCTTAAAGAGAATAGAGCTTCATGTGGAGAGAAACATTGTGGTGGTACCTCCTATAAACTCTTGAAGATTGAAAGATTGGTTTATTATAGAGAAGCGTTTTCAATGGAGATTTTGGGTGGTTTT